GCCTCCCAGGCTTGCGGCGCCAAACAGCTGATTGGTGCCGCAAGCCTGGGAGGCGGGAGAAGTGGAGCGTCCGCTGCACTGGGAGAGGGAGTCTGAGCCACACGTGTCAGCGCGCCACCAGCAGCCCAGCCCAGGAACGCTAGTAAAAAAAAAATTGGGGGCACTGCATTTTGGCGCCCCCAAATCTTGGCGCCCTAGGCAACCGCCTAGTTTGCCTTAATGGTAGCACCGGCCCTGTGTGCGAGGCCCCTGCCCCAAGCACTAGCTCTGCACTCCCATTGGCTGGGAACCAGCCAATGTGAGCTGGGGTGGTTGATGCCTGTGGGCGAGAGTCACGCGGAGCTGCTTGTGCGCCTCCGCCTAGGAGCTGGACCTGCTGATGGCCGCTTCCGGGGCGCAACGCTGTCCACGGTGCCAGGACAGACAGGAAGCCTGCCTTAGCACCCCCGCAGTGCCGCTGACTGGAAGCCGCCTGAGGTAAGCCCTCGCCCCAATCCCCTGCCCCAGCCCTGAGCCCCCCCAACCCACAGCCCCTTCCTGCACCCCAAATCCCTCATCCTCAGACCCACCCCATAGCCTGCACTCCCAGTCCAGAGCCCTGACCCCCTCCCGCACCCCAACCTTCTGCCCCAGCCCTGAGCCCCTCCCACACCCCAAACCCCTCATATTCGTGATCCAACAGAGCTGGGAATTAACCATTTTCTTCAACTGGGTCACCAGAAAAAAAGTTTGAAAACCACTGCTCTAGATCCTGCATTTGCAATCAGTCCAAGGGAAATCCATCAGACTACACAGTTTAACCCTGTTCAAGCTTTGCCATGCAGCAGATTGCCTTGGGAAGGAGCTTCTATTGCCTCCAGTTATCACTTCCTTTTATTTGATTTAAACCGCCTGCCTATTAATTTCATTTGGTGACCCCTAGTTCTTGTGTTATGAGACGTAGTAAGTAGGGACTTAATTGCTCTTTTCCTTTAGCCCTGAAGAAGGGTGATTACCCACTTACCGACTTTAATTAGGTCTGTGATTGATCAGTGGAATAAAAGACAGCCATTAATGGTAGCCATTAACACCTTCCAGTATAACATTCTTTTAAATCTAGCACTCCCCACTGGATCCCCACACATTCAATTAATTATCTGGGGAAGCACATTATTTAGAGACTGTGACCAGTATGCTTCTCTTGTTCTCTTTGGGCCAGTTCCTGGGTCTGTCTGCACAGTGGGCAAGGGAGGAGTATGTATGCAAAAGTGGCTTAAAGCTCACCTTTGCACTCCCTGGATCCTGCTTCTGCCTCTGTGCAGGGCCCTCTCCTCCAGCAAAGAAAAGGGCTGAGTTTCAAATCCTCACATTTTATTTGTAACAGGTATTCAAGCATTTAGTAATTCAGTTGCCACCTGTTTTATTTCCCTGGACGCAGGGTTGCCAGTCCCCCAAATTGCTGCAATCTCTTAGATGGAACGAGGGAAAGAGCCATGTGTCCCCAATCTTCATGCCTCCATAGACAGGGAGATCCCAAGACGTGCCCATCCAGGTGAGGAATAAGTCAGAGCAACCCAGGAAACATCAGTGGGTGAAATATAAATGTTGGGATTCCAACAAAACTGTTGTGAGTTCGCCTGTTTCTGTCTTGTCTCATCTATAGACCCGGTCAGGAATCTTCCATCAAAATGTTTTTTCAACAAAAAACGCAGTTTGCACAAAATCAACATTTTCCAAGGGAAATTTTGATTTTGCAAATATTTTTCAATTTTTTATCAGACAAATCAAAATAATATACTTTGTTTTGTGTTGGGTCAATCCAAATATAAACATTTGAATTTGTTTACCAGTGTGCTAGCTTTTTGCTACTTTTATGTCTAAATCTTAGGCTTCTCCATGGCCAGTTATAGGCAGGAATACTCATCTGTGATCTGTTCTGCTGATTAAAATTGTTATTATTCATTTATATTATGGTACAGCCCAAAGGCCTCAGTCAGGATTAGAGCTGAAGTTGTGCTGGGTGATGAAGACAGACCCTATTGCAGGGAGTTTACAGTCCAAAAGATCTTCAGCAGTGATAAAGAACATGAATAATAATAATGTGCATTTATTTAGTCCATTCCATCCTAGAGCTGTGATGTTTGTCAGGGTGATTTTAGTGACAGGGCTTGTCTACATTTAAACATGACATTGTCACTGCTGTAGTGCTTCAGTGTAGACACTACCTGTGCCAACATGAGAGGTTCTCCTATGGGCATAGGTAATACATTTCTCCCTGAGAGACAGTGAATCAAACTGTTGTATTGTGGGCCACTTTAACATTAATCTGTGTTCTCCAGAGCTGCTGCATTGCTTCATGGAAGTTGTAGTTCAGGTGTCTGATGCTGCCATTCTCTTCTGTGGGCCAGGCTCCCTGGCTGGATCGCATCTCCCATGATGCACCATAGTCTCCCCTCTGGTAGAACCACTCGAGTGCATCATGTCTGCATGTCAATTTTCATGATGCATTGCAGTCGTGAAACATGTAGGCCAGCCAGGAATCTTGTCACATAGAGGAGAATGGGTTATGCTACATGGGGATGAACTACAACTCATCTGAAGTACCACAGCAGCTCTCAAGCAGACACAGTTCAATATGGAAGTGAGCTGAAAGGAAACATTTCCATTTGGTTCAACAAACCAAACCAAAACATGTTGATTCAGAACTGTGAAAATGTTTCAGTGAAAAATATAGAAAATAAATGTTTAGACATTTTGGAACTGAAATTTTTCTGAACTTTTTGTTCTGCAAAAAATTTCAATATTTCTGCTTTTTGTTCCAGTTCGGGACAAATATCAAAAGATCATGATTTCCTGTGGGGTGGAATTTTTGTTTTTCGATCAGCCCTAATCTCAGTATTGTAGCCAGCAGTTAAAGCAGAGGCTCTCAACCAGGGGCATGCATACCCCTGGGGGTATGCAGAGGTCTTCCAGGGGGTACATCAACTCATCTGGATATTTGCCTAGTTTTACAACAGGCTACATAAAAAGCACTACCAAACTCAATAAAAACTAAAATTTCATACAGACTATGATTTGTTTATACAGCTCTATATATTATACACTGAAAAGTAAGTACAATATTTACATTCCAATTGATGTATTTTATAATTATGTGGTAAAAATGAGAAAGGATGCAATTTTTCAGGAATAGTGTGCTGTGACACTTTTGTATTTTTAGGTCTTATTTTGTAAGCAAGTAGTTTTTAAGTGAGGTGAAACATAGGGATACAGAAGACAAATCAGACTCCTGAAAGGGGTACAGTAGTCTGGAAAGGTTGAGAGCCACTGTGTTAGAGTAACTGGAAAGCAGATGCCAATTATTGTTTAACATCAGTCCTGACAGACTGCTAGCATTCCCCCACCTAACCAGTGTACTATAGCAGAAACTATCCTGTTCACAAGTGTTGCATTGAGTTCTGAAGGTGATAAGGGACATAATCATTACTTTCTTCTATGGCTGTGAGTTCCATAGTGCGGGGCCAGCTTCTGGGGATGTTCTGGGGAAAGGTGTGACAGAGTGGGATATGTCTGTACCCAACTGTGAACTCCATTTTGTGTTTCAACCTCCATCTTGATTGTAACCTTCATTGTGACCTTCACTTAATAGTAGAACCTCCAATTTGGATTAGAACATCCATTTTGTATTAGGGTTTGACACCTAGTTGAATGACAATGGCTTTATCTACACTTGAAACTTATGCTAGCAAAGCTATGTCAGCGGTGTGAAAAAAACACACACCTTAGCTGACATAGCTAGGCTGACAAAACCGCCAGTATAGACAAAGCAGTGCTATCAGAATAGGGCTTCTGTCAATATAGCTAACATCATTCAGGGAGATACTGTTCCTACACTGGCAGAAAATCTCCTTCTGTCAGCATATGCTGCAGCTACACTAGGGGCTGGCATAGGCTGTGTAATGTAGACATAGTCTATGGCTGAGAAGCCACCATAGAGCAGTCATGGGCCATTGACTTTGGTTATCTCTCAACTACTGGCCCACTGCAAGGGGATAGTGGACTCTCCACAGAAACCTGACTGGAATTTCCCAGTTGGAGCACATGGGCAAAAAGAGACAGAGGCTGTATTTAAGAGGGGAGGGCTTCTCTGAGCAAGGGGACCAACCACCACCACATGTCAGAAGCCTCTAGGCTAGAGAGCGAGGACAAGGCAGGAGGGTCTGCCTAGCCTGAAACATTGACCTGACCCTGGATTTGTGGGGTGAGATCAGAATAAGAGAGTGAGGTGGAAGCATTGCAGGACTGTTTGTTATTTTGCAAAGATCTGTAACTCTCCAGTGCTCTCTTAAGAGTAAAAGTGGCTGTGGTTAAGAAATGCCTTCACTAAACCTGTAAGGGGCTTAACTGAGCAGCTCGGTGCCCACACCTAGATGAGGCTCTGAGGGCACATGTCAGGCCTGGCCGACACCTAAAAATTAGGTTGACATAGCAACATCATTCAGGGCTGTGAAAAATGTTGCGCCCTGTGCAACATAGCTAGGTCAACTTAACCCCTCTGTAAGGCAGCTAGACAGAAGACTTATTCGTCACCCTAGCTACTGCCTTTTGGAGAGGTTGATTACCTACTTTGATGGGAAAAGTCTTTCAGTCAATGTAGGAAGCAACTACACTATGGCAGTACAGTGGCAGAGCTGCAGTGCCATAGCTGTGCCACTCCAGTGCAGACGCACTCTAAGCAACTAAGGGCTTGGCCTGGTTTGGGGTTTAAGACAGCTGCCTGCAGAGCCCCACATCCCTTGGAAGGATGGCAGACACGGCAGCTGGGAACGGTGATTAGTCACTACCCAGACCCGGGGGTATAGAAGCATGTGGGATCCAGCAGTTGGGTCCGTTCACAACAGACTGGTGTCAGTCCAGAAGGAGGAATTGGTCCAGATTGTGATAAAAAGCTCAGGTGATTTTTTTTTTCTCCTGTTTTATGATCTTATCAAAGGGTCTGATTCAGCACTCATTGACGTGATTGGAAAGACTGCTTGACTTTGACGGGCTTAGGATCAGGCTGTAAAGTTTTCAGATTTGTGACAAACTCTTTGCAGTTCTCTTGGCTGAGGTACCCTTTCCCCCAGACACAGGGATGAACCATGTCTCGATTCTCTCTTTATTCCAGCAGGTGATGGGATCATGAGTGAAAACGAGGAGGAGAATCCACCTCTTCAGACAGAGGAACTAAGTGTAGCATTGTCAAAAAAATCCAAAGGGAAAGATTCACAGAGCCCTGACTGGGAAGATGACTGTGAGGATGAGTGGGGGACAGAAAATCAGGAGAGAAATCTTCCAGGAAAGAAATGGGGTGAATCTCCTCCCCGAGAGAGAGGTTTCAGGAAACTCAAAGACATCATTGCCCAGCAGAGGCCTCACACTGGAGAGAAACCTCATAAATGTCCTGACTGTGGGAAGAGCTTTAGTCGGAGATCAAACCTCATTCAGCACCAGAGGACCCACACAGGCCAGAGACCTTATGAGTGCCCTGAGTGTGGAAAAACCTTCAGCCTGCGCTCGACACTTACAAGACATCAGCGAACCCACCTGCAGGAGAAGCCCTATAAATGCACAGAGTGCGGGAAGAGCTTCCGCCAGAGCTCAGACCTGATCGCTCACCAGCGAGTGCACACAGGAGAGACACCGTACCGGTGTGCTGTGTGCGGGAAGAGCTTTGGGCGGAGCTCCAACCTGAGCCAGCACCAGACCACGCACATGGGGGAGAGACCCTATCAATGTGCTGACTGCCAGAAAAGCTTCCGGAGCAGTTCGGCCCTGGTGCAGCACCAGAGGAGCCACACGGGAGAGAAACCCTATCAGTGCTCGGAATGCAGGAGCCGCTTCCTGCAGAGCTCGGACCTGATCAAACACCAGAGGATCCACACCGGGGAGAGGCCCTACCAGTGCCCCGCCTGTGGGAAATGCTTCAGCCAGAGCTCCTCACTCACTGAGCACCAGAGGACCCACACCGGGGAGCGACCCTACCATTGCACTGAGTGCGGGAAACGTTTCTGCCAGAGCTCCACACTCATCCAGCACCAGAGGATCCATACGGGGGAGAAGCCCTATAGATGCACTGAGTGTGGGAAGAGCTTCTGCCGGAGCTCCAATCTGAATCAGCACCTGACAATCCACATGATAAAGAAACCTCATCGGTGCACTGACTGTGGGAGGGGCTTCAGTCAGCTCACTAACCTTATTATACACCAGAGAATCCACTCTGGAGAGACACCCTAGGACAGTGGTTCTCAAACTTTTGTACTGGTGACCCCTTTCACACAGCAAGCATCTGAGTGCGAACCCCCCCCATAAATTAAAAACATTTTTAAAATATTTAATTCTATTATAAATGCTGGAAGTGAAGTGGGGTTTGGGGATGGAGGGTGACAGCTCATGACCCCCCATGTAATAATCTCGTGACCCCCTGAGGGGTCACGACCCCCAGTTTGAGAATCCCTGCCCTCGGAGCTATGGGGACAGCTTCACGGACCTACCAGCACCAGAAAATACACTCCACACAGAAAGCTTTGCTGGCTGTCTCCCTCCTGGATAGTGGCCTACTCCAGGAGGTTCAATTCAGGGTGGGATTAGGGATATCTTCCTCCACCTTTAAGAGATTTATCAACTGGACAATGTTGCAGAGAAGGATCTGTTCTGTTTTGTTGCTTTTGCTCCACCTACTGCAGAGTGAAACTGATCAGGATCATGCCAGTTTCATTCTGCTGCTGGGGAAGCCCTTTGTTGTACAGTTGGGATCTGAAGAGAGGGGTAGGTGGAGGAAAATGACAGGGAGGGTCAGAGCCACACAGAAGTAAGTGGGAAGGTAATATTGCTCAGGGCTGTTTCCAGAGACTATCTTTATCTACAGCTCCCATGTAATATATAATATACCTTCTAGGGCAGATGTCGATAGATACACACAGCTAGGGTATATTGGCTTCACATGTGCAGACCTACTACAAAGTAGTGACTTACTGTAGCTTTCTCACGCGCTATGGAGTGGACATCAACATACCAAGGTGGTCAAACTGGGTTGGGAGAAAACAGTATCTAGTGCTTGGATCCTTCCGGGAGAAGACAAACACTGCAGTGTTCACATGAAGTACAGGCCACTAGTGAGGTAATGGGATTGTGTGAAGTCCATAAAGTGGGGCCAGTGTCAGGTATCTAATTCTATACTAGACATGCATTCCATAAAGAGACCAGAAAGTCCTCAGGTACTCAGCAGAATATGAGGAGCTGTTGTGGCCACTGCATGTGATCCCAACTCTAAATACACAGTCTTCCCCCTCCCACACCCAGTCTTCCTGATAGTAACAAGTATGCATTCAGCAATGCTAATGAGCAGCAGAGGTGGATTAAGATATATTGGGGCCTGGGCACAAAGAACGTTTCTCGTCCCCCCACCACCATGGAGCCACGCCCCCTGCTCCTCCCCTTCCCCCTAAGGCCCCACTCCCTGGCCTGGCCAGAAGCCGGGCCATGGTAAGAGCTGCCCAGGGAGCCTGGGACACTGTGGGGAGCCTGGGGCAGTGCACCCTGGGGGGAAGGGACAAGGGCTGGGGGCTGATCTTGGGCACCTCGTGACCTTGGCCCCCAAGTCAGGTGCAGGGTCCGGGGCTCCCCTGAGCTGCCCAGGCTCCCTGCCCCCAGCCCCAGCTGTGGCTCTGCTCCCAGCTGCACCCCCACTCACAGCCCCTGACTGTGGGCCCCAGCCCAGCTCCTGGCCCTGGCTCCCGGGGGGGGGGGGCATAGACCAGGTAAGGGTGCACCTAACTGAAAAAGTTTGGGGATCCCTGGCCTAGGGTGACCATACGTCCTCTTTTGGCCCCAGATGTCCTGATGTTTTGGGCAAAACTGGGTATTTGGCCTATTTGCTCTTGTCAACTGATCACCAGCTGGCAAGAGCAAACGGTACAAATGCCCAGTTTTGCCACAAAGGAGCTTGGGTGTGTGTGTGAGAAGTGGGGCTCAGGGGGGTGAGTGATGGGGCTTGGCAGGGGTCTGAGCAGTGGGGCTTGGGCCAGCCCTGCATGGGGGAGGAAGGGAGGAGGGCCAGCTCTGCGTGGAGGGAGAGGGGCTTGGGCGAGCTTCGTGCCATGCAGGGGTGAGGGAAAGGAAGAATAGGCTCAGAGCAGTTACATGCCACATAGGGGGAGGTCCTCGGGCCTTGATCCAGTGCCGTGCGGCGGCCATCAGTCCAGCGCTGCATGGGGCAGGGAGGGGGGCCCTCAGTTGTGTGCCACGCTGCACTGGGCAGGGGGGCGCTCAGGCCAGCTCAGCGTGGGCTTGGGCAAGCAGCATTCAGCCAGCGCAGCCTGGAGGTGGGGGGAATTGGTCACCACCCTTCCACAGGCTTCCCGCTGGGCTGGAGATGGGGCCTCAGGGGGAAGAGGAGGAGTGGGGAGGGGGAGAGAGGAGGAGCAGAAGGCAGGACTAGAGTTCCAGCCGCTGCAAATTGACCGGGCCCCCTGGGCATGGCTAGAGCCCTGCGCAGATACACGCCCTGCCCCCATCACTTCCACTCAGCTGTCTGCATCTCCTGTTTGGGGGCATGTGCCCACTTGAACACACAAGCGTGCCCAGGGACAGCTGTCTGCCCCAGTGGGCAGGGATGGGGGTGGTACAGCTGTGCCAGAGAGGCTGTCGGCATGGGAGGCTGGTTCCTGGGAATGGCGGCCCCACGTTCTGCTCCTTTCATTGCTGCGGTTCCCGGGAAAGCCCTGCGGTTCCACGGATACCGATTTATATCCGCAGATATCCGCATCCACAGATATAGATTTGTATCTGTGCAGGGCTATATTGACAGGCACTCTCCAAAGCACCCGGTACCGTCTCTAGTTGAGAAAATAAAGTAGCAACAATGGCAGAGCTAGACCATGTGCCACTGAATAACTTTGTAGTAAAAGACATTGTGCAGCAATACCCAAGGAATCCCTGTGTAATGATCTCCTAGTAATGCCCTTCACATGGAACAAAAGGAATATATGGCCTGATTCTCCACTGCCTTGTACCTCGTGTCATCATTTACATCTGTTTAGAGTGGGTGTAAAATGTTACCATTCTGACTTGGCTGGGTTTTACACTCAGCACAGGGATAAGTGGTTACACAAGGTACAAAATCAGGTCCATAATTTCCCTGGTAGATGGGGGACATGGTACATTATTCTTTAGCAAGCTATAAAAAGGGGAAGCAGAGGCAGTCTTGACACTATTGGATGCTATTGGAAATGGAGCCAGTGGTGACACTGAGCAGAGATGCTGTGGACCACAACCCAAAGTGTGGGCAGCCTGGGTGTGTCTGCACAAAGATGTGTGCTTAGTAAATCCTAAGCATGTAGCCACATTTGGTGCAGGTGTAATTCATGGTAAACTGATAATAGGAGGGGGCTATAGAGTTTGTAACATTTCTAAATGCTCATTTGTTACTGTTTAAGATAAATAGAATCTTAATATTATTAATTGAAGTCTGGAGATCCTGCATTGGCATCAGCATTCCCTCAGAGCTTGCTGATCCCGAGAACACTGAAAAGTATAAAGCAACTCATTTATATAGTTCCATGTTGTTGATTTTGTACATAATTGCTTGTACCTATACAATCTGTGCATGCTTGCACCTCTGTACTTAACTATGAAGGTAGATTCCTCTTTTCAAAACTGCACTTGATTGTTGATGTTAAATACTGTTCTTTGCAACACTTAAAGTTATGCAATAAAGTAAAAGCATTGTTTCCCATGGGTTGCATTATGCTTTTTACTGCAAAACTGCAATAGGTGTTTAGCAGTGGGAAGTTTCTCCAGGGCCTCTAATTTGTTTCTATATGACACACACAAAAATACATTAAAAGAACATTATTAAGATTGCAACATAAACCACTCAAAACTTAAAAATGCCAGAATTAAGGTTGCCTGTGCAATTTTAATTCAGCCCCCTTGTGTGTATGAATTAAATTATATGCTCACATAAAAATTTTTTCCACAAGACTTCTGCCTCATTCAGTGCACAGGATGGACGGTACTCACTTTTCCCAGTCTATTCCTTCTGCCTTCCCCCTCACTGTGCTAGATCCAACTCTTATCCCCTCTGCTTTTGAATTAGACAACTCCCCATGTGTCCTTGAACCCCCGGTCCCCATGTGTTCCTCCACTCCCACTCAGACACCCACTCCCCCCATCCCTATGTGGCCCTGCATCCCCCCATCCCCTGTCCCCATGTGTCTCTGTGTCCCCACTCAGTCACCCCGTCTCCATGTGGCCCGCCACCCCTTCAGCCAGCTCCCTCCCCTCATCTGCATGTGTCCCTGCACCCCCTGTCCCCATGTGTCTCTGTGCCTCCTTTCAGCCTTCCCCCTGTAGCTGTGTACCCCCTCCCCCTCTGCCCATGTGGCCTTGCGCCTCCACTCCCATTCAGCCCCTGCCCCAGTCTGTCCTCCCCCACTAGTCCTTATGAACCCCTGTCTGACCCCCCACCAGCTGCACGCTGTCTGTCTCCCCATAGCCGCTGTCTCCTGACCTGGCCCAACAGGTGCTGTGAAGAAGGCAGGCTCTTTCTCTTTCCTGTCATAGCTGGGGATGGCCAGGAGCGGCTGCTGTGTTCTATGACACAGTGCCCTCTGGTGGGCAAAAGGCGGAACATCAGAAGTTATTTTCTGCTGGGAACTGCTGCTCTGTTCTAGTGCCACAGCGCCCTCTGGTGGGCTAAAGGCAGAACTGCAGCAACTTTTAAGCAGAAGCTATTTTCTGCAAAAAATTAAAAGTATACACGGCCCATGAAATTTGCGTGCATGCAGTGGCACAGAATTCTCCCAGGAATAACATATCTAGCCCCTTTTATCTTCAATGCTCCCAAAATCTTTACAGACTGTATGCAGAAACGGTGTCCCTTCTTCTTCTTTTTCCTTTATGCCGCTTTTCCTGGTGAGGGTCATGGCGGAAGCATGGAGAGTAAGGAGGACGTGATCTCCCTTTCCTCCACAACAGGTTCCAGCTCCTCCTTGGGGATTACCAACTGTTCCCAGGCCAGCTGGGAGATATAATCCCTCAGAGGAAGTAGTGGAAGTGCCATTGCTCCTGCCATTCAATACTAGGATTAGACAATGATGTGGAGAATGCACGACTGGGAACAATCCAGCACTAGCTCCTGGGCAGTGGGAAAGAACTGGGCTTATAGATCCTTTCCATTTCTAGGAGATTTGGTCTAGGTTCAGTCTCTTGATTGAACACCTGTCCTTTCTCTGGGGCATAAATTGTTCTGCTCCATCACAAAATAAGTTAAATTTGGATCAGGGATAATGAACTGTGTGGCCTTCTAAACAGTCCCAGCTGGAAGCACAGACACATGTTTCCAGTGAGATTGGAACAACAAAGAGCTGTGAGATTTAGACCTTTACTTCTGCATCTTTTTCCTGAAAGCTGAATCTCTTATTGCACCCAACAGTCACCAGAGCAACGTGGACATGATGAGACACTCCCATTCACAGCACACATATTCTTGGGGACTGATGTATTGGGCCCAAGGGAAGTTATTACATTTAGCAACATTGGCTGAATTAATACAGTGAATAGCAACTCTCCCTTCAACACTTTAAGGCAAATCCACTGGCCCTCCCGTTCCCAACCCACCTTCTCCACTGGACTCGTTGGGTGATGTCACAGGGAGTTTTATGATATCATAAGCAGAGCTTGGCTGAAGTTTGGTGTTTTTCCACTTTAGTCATTATCAGAATTTTTTTTTCAAATTTTTTTGTGTGGTGAGTTCATTCCACCTCCACCTTCCTGCATATTATACAGTCCTGGACTCACAATGATACAAACCCTCCAATCTGATCTCTCTGTGAGCTGCCCATGGTGAGGGATGGGCTCGCTCTCTAATTTCACATCCATAGTGGGTTTTTTTCAATCAAATATTTGTTGCCACAGTTTCACAAATTCGATGAAATGGTGCGATACAAGGGAAGTTATTCCAATTCCTGTTCTCCTTTTGGGATGTATCTACAGCAACACATTTCTCCACAATGAGGTTATTTGGTTCCCCAGGTATCCAGAACCTGTAAGACAGAGAAGCTGATGTGTCAGACGTATCTTTATGAGTGACCCAGGGGAAAGAGTTGTAGCTGGTGATGGAAGAGTGGTGGAAATGATAACCTATTAATCCTCCAGAGAGATTCCCCTTCTTCCCTAAAATGGATTTGTAGCTCTCATCATGATGCCCTAAGAAACCTTCCCTTTGCTGGACCAGAAACATTTAGCTCCAGTAGGTGACAGAGATCTCTCTCTGAGACACACACATATCCACTATACTGTATGTGAATCTGTTGGACTAAGAGGAGGGTGGTAAACAGCCTTTATCCCAAAAAGTACTCACACTGCCGTCTTGTTATATGGAGTCAGATCCACCCAGCACCACTGGCCTTTCTCCAGTGCCAGACCAATATAGTAATTCTCCACTTGGATGCCAATAACTGTTCTTTTTACATAATTGGAAATGAAATCCTGGATAAAAAAATTAATTTAAATTTCACTAGATGCAGTTACTGAGCAGACAGTAGCAGGCAGGAATCTCTGGGGAGTGTGAGTCTGGTGCTGGAGGTGTTGATGGCTAAGGAAGCCCAGGACTGAGTGTCCATGGAGCCAGAACTACCCACTCAAATTCAAGAACAGGTGTGTGTGTGCGTGTGTGAGGGTTTCTTCTGGGGCTGGGCACTGAATTCCCAATAGAGTCCGACCCCCAGCAAGATACCTGCTCAGTTCCCGTGTTGACCACTACCAGGTGGGAGCCCATCCCTGTACAGTTCCTCTCACTGTCATCCCAGTTCATGATATCTTTAGAGAAGTAGTAGCAGCTGGTCTGAAAGGGCTCCCAGCCCAAGGGGCAGCACGTCCAGACTCGCCCTGTGAGGGAAGAGAAATCCAAGGAGAAGGAATCATAATAATTAGAGATGGAAAATCCCTACTAGGGACATCTTTGTCATTGTCTGTGGACAATGTTGAATTGTTCCCTCCAGTTTATTCTGAAGGGTTTGACCTCTCCCAGCTGTACAGCTTTGTTTAGACTAAGATGGAAGATGTATTATTAGAAGATGTTAGCTAACACGGTCAGTAAGCCCAGTGTAGACAAGGCAAGGTAGACTAACATGTTAGCTGACATGTTCTAACCACGTACCTTTAAATTCTCATCTGGACAAAGCCAAAAATGACTCAGTTAATACAGATTCCATCCCTTCGCTTGGGAAGACAACCATAGTCTAATGGGTTTGGAAATGTTAGGGTTAGAGAATATTTCCTCATCCTCAACCTGAATTGGTCTTTTTCTCCTGTTATACCTTCTATTTCTGACCATTCTCAATTAACCCCTCCCCATCCTACTTGTTCACACCCCGCCTGTGCTTGAAGAACACTGCTATTTCTCTCCTTAGCCTTCACTTAGACCCTCTGTACAGACTTCATTTTCTCCTCATTATCTCCTCAGGGGTGAACCCCTCCAGCCCACTGTCACTGTTTGCTGTCAGTCCAGACCTGGGTGTAAATCAGGCCACTAGCCCAGAATGCTGACACAGGGATGATTTCCTCTCTCTCTTTTGGTGTCACTGACCTTTCCCTTCATCTCTCCCCACGACACAATGCCACTCTGCGGAACCCTGGGGCAGGGCCTTGCGCACTTCACAGCTTGGATTTCCCATGAGGAGAGTGACTGGTAAAGGAAAGAAAAAAAGAGAACGGATACAATATTTCCCTCCTCTCGCCCCCACATACAACCTGATTTCTTCTCCATCTCCTGGCCAAGAACTGTCACAGTGTGGTTTCATGGGTTTCCTTTATTTTCATACATACAAAACCAATCTCCCATAGGAGAAGAATAGGACAGCTCAGCTTCCTTCATCTCTCTGTTGGTGGTGGGAACCAATTCTACTGACTGACTGGTGCAAGCCAATCTTTCTTGGTCAACAAGGCAAGAGAAGTGTCTGACTCACATGGGGTGGGTCAAGGTGGGTGTGACCAGGAAACAGCTCATTAACATTCTCACCCCTTCCTGAGCAGTAGCAGATGTTGGGGCCTTCAGTGTTGCTGAATATGGGTATTTTCTTAGCCTATTTACAGATGTACACTACTCCCAGGCAATTGCCTCTTCCAGAGCTCCCAGGCCAAACACCAACATCATGTCCCACGAAACAGCTCTGCCCCAGGAATTAAGTCTAGTTGCACAAATGAAGGCAGAGAGAAAACTCTTGCTGTTTGCTACAGTGCCCCCAAAAGAACCTGCATCCCAGAACTAACCCTGGTACAGATCCCATCAGTCCCACAAGCATGGGAAGGCAGAGCATACTGGAGGTGAACCACTGGCTGTGAGACCGGTGTGAAAATGAAGCTTTGGGCGTTGTGAAACATTGGACAAATTCCAAGGAGAGAAGGGGCTGTATGAACAGGATGGCCTGCATCTCACAGGTGGTGAAGGGGCTAATCTTCTGGGTTGGAGACTAGCTGGGGCAGCTGGGAGGGTGTAAAACTAACAACACATGGGGGAGGATTTGGAGGGGGCAAAAACAGTACAAATGTTTAAACGTATAACTTAAAGTCAAGGTGTTGGGAACTTATTGAACTGAGATGGCAAAGAATGTGAAGAGAAGTGTTTTTATACCCCCAACTGTATATGTACCAGTGCCATGGGTAATGTACAAGAGGATCTGGAAAATCTCACTGATGAGAAGAAATTTGATATAATTGGCACTACTGAAACCTGGTGGGAGACTTCACATGACTGGAATGTTAAAACTAGAAGTTATCACCTGTTTAGAAAGATCAAGTGAGTAAGAAAGATGGGGGATGGGTGTGACACTCACAGCATCCCAATTCCAGAGGGCAAGAGGGTCACTGGTAACAGGTAGTAAGTTTCAGCTGGCCTGAGCAGTTCAGTGTACCCCAGTTCACTGATGTCATAATCTGTGTCTAATAGGTGTCACGTAATATATCATTGGAAAACTAATAATTCACTGATCATTAATAGTCTTGCATGATGTAAGTACATGGTGTGTATTAAAAGTTATGAATAGATAGGCTGGAATTATATCTAAAATGTATATAAACCAGGCATGTCATGGGGATTTAGTAAACAGGTCTGCCCTAGACAAAGGAATGGGTTTGCTTCTCTGACCAGCCTGGTCATCAGGCAGAGACAATGAAGGTCTATTTACATATTAGGTAAACAAAGCTAGCAAGCTAACAAGCAGGGAAGAGAAACATTATCTGAGCTATAAAGACAATGGGTCTGAACCTCAAATGATAAGCAATGTATCAACTGATTGGGTACAATATTACTATATTATGAAAGTCTATTGATTGAGATCTTTTATGAAAGTCTATGACACACTAGTGATTAATATCAATGTGCAATGTCTGTATTAGCAGAACATAAGGGATTATGAATACTCATTGATTTTATGCTTTAAAGTGCATTTCCAAACGGAGGAAGAAACAGGTCTCTCCCAGACAGGATGGAATTTCATAGTTATACCTGTCCCCAGTGAAATTAAGCAAAGTGTGACCTAAAATAATGGAATCCCCATTTACACAGAAAATCAGCAGGGGAATGGGAAGTCCACAAGAAGGGAAGTACAGCAAAAGGTCTTCCTGCTTCTTGAAACAAGGTCGTTGAACTTTGGAAGATATAAGCCAGGACAGAAGTAATCTTTGGCATTGATCACTGGACAGACACAAGGGTCTGGGCCTCTTGCCAGCCAAGAAAAGTGGATCCTTCAACCAAAGGGGGTGGGTTTGAAGTCTCTGGGAACTGAATATAGGTGAGATACCTGCTTAGGTAAAGATTGTACCTTGCTAGATTAAGTTTTAGGATTTAGATATGTGATTTCACTTTTATTTACTTGGGATCTTTTCTAACTTTATTCCTTTTGCTTAGCATCACTTATGTCTTATTGTGAATAAATTGGTTTTATTTTTATTATAAACCAACTCCGTGTTGCGTTTGAAGGGAAGGCTGTATTTATCCCAGTTAAGTTAATAAGCTGTAATGTACGTTTCTCTCTTTAAAGGAGCAAACAGCCCTTATTATTTTCCTGAGTTATCCAAGAGAGAGCTAGGTACTTCAGGGCACACCGGTTTGGGAAAAATTCGGGATGGGGGTGTGTTAGGGTCATCCTGCAAGTAGTAATCAAGGCTGGTGGAAGTTAGAGTGGGGCTATGAGGCTGTAGAAAGTCTGCTGGGGTCAGAGCTGCTGAACCCGGGGTGGCTGCATTGAACACAGATACTCAGGGTGACCTGCAAACTTGTTTTTTAAGTATATCAGGAACAAAGGAATTCCTAAGAAAGGTATAGGCCCATTACTATGTGTAGATGGTAAAACTGTTAATAATTCTCCAGAAAAGGCAGAAATATTCAATACATATTTTGGTTCTGCATTGGAAAGAAGCAGGATGATGTATTCATATCACATGAATATTATGTACTTTCCAGCTCATTAGTAACTAAGGAGAATGTTAAACAACTGCTACTAGGGATTAACATTTTTAAATCAGAAGGCCCAGACGACATGCACCAAAAAGTCCTATAAGAGGTGGCTGAGGAGTTCTCTGACCCACCGGTGTTAATTTGTAGTAAATCTTGGAATTCCAAGGAAATTCCAGAAGACTGGAAGAGTGCTGGTGTGCAATTCAATTCAATGCAAAAAGGGCAAGTGGTATCATCTGGCTAACTATGGGCCAGTTAGCCTGACATAGATCCCAGAAAACATATTAGAAATATTGATATGGGCGTCATCTAATAAAGAATTAAGGAAAATAATAGAATGAATGCCAATGAACATGGTTTTGTGGAAAGTAGGTCTTGTCAAATAAATCTGATTTTATTTTTGGTTAAATAAGTTTGGCAGATAAAAGTAACTGTGTAGATATAATATATTTAGGGCTTTGTAAAGCTTTTTAGTCCTACATGACATGCTAATTAAACAACATGCACTGTGCTACATCAATAAAACACATGTTAAATTAATTAAGAACTGGCTAACTGGCAGATCTCAAAAAGAAGTTGTCAGTGGGGAATCATCATTGAATGGGGATGTTTCTAGTGGTGTTTCACAGGGAGCAGTACTAGGCCTGATGCTATTCAACATTTTAATCAATGATCTGGAAGTAAATATAAAGGAACCTGTGATAAAATTTGCAGGTGACACAAGGATTGTCTGACTGGTAAATAATGATAGGGCCACACAACAACCAAACACAGAGACAGACCAGACTGAAGGCAGAAAGGTAAAACTCACCACACCGCACCGCAGACCGGCTCTTTTGCAGAAAGCCACAAAGGACCCAAATCACATGGCTCCCCCAGCCTGCAAATAGGTCCAGGCGGGGCCGTCCCTAGGGAGGTGCGGGGCCCGGGACAAATCAGCCTGTATGGGCTCCCCTTAACATTTTTTCTACAGGTTAAATCTGGTGTGGGGAGGGAACACCTGTGCTGGGGGGCGAGGGACGATTGAGAGTCACAGGGTATCACTTGTGCTAGGGGCGAGGGGGCCTGGAAAAGGGAGGAGTCCGGGGTGGATGGGCAATGGATGGGGTCAGCCTGACACTGGGGTATGCCGGCAGTGTTAGGATACTGGCAGCCAGTGTGATGGCGGGCGAGCAAGAAAAGGAAATACAATGTGTGCTTCCCACCGGTGAATGTGGGCCCAACTCCTGCTGCTGGCGCCAGGCCCCCCACTAACTCTCCTGGGCCGGCCTGCCCCCCCCCCCTAATCCCATCCCCTGGGCTAGCCTGGCCCCCCAGGCACCCCTAACCCCACCCTTCCTGGGCCGGCCTAGCACTCCCCGCATGACACACGCACACTGAAGGGCAGGGCCCCCTCAAAGAGCAGTGCCCTGAGCAGTCGTCCCAATTCGCCATACCCAAGGGACGGCTCTGGGTCAAGGAAATCCCTTCCACATTTAAATGATGGCTTGTAATTTTAACACAGTTTCCAATATGCCACATATACAGCATTGGCAAGACCAATACGGGGATATTGCATCGAGTTCTTTTGTCCCACATTTTATAAAGGATGTTGATCAATTGAAGAGGTTGCAGAGCACAGCCATAAAAATTATTCAAAGTGGAAAAAAAGCCTTACAGAGAGACTTTAGGAGCTCAATCTGTTTAGCTTATCAAAAAGAAGATCAAAAGGTGACTTGATTATACGGTCTAAGTATCTTCACAGAAAGAAAATACCAGGTACTAAAGGGCTCTTTAACCTAGTGGAGAAAGGCAGAACAAGAACCAGTGATTGTAAATTAAAGCTGGGCAAATTTAAGTTAGAAATAAGGCACTGTTTTTAAGAGAGGGTGATTATCCATTGGCACAAACAACCAAGGAAAGAGGTGGATTCTCCATCTCTTGATGTCATGATCTGGATGTCATGATCTGGATGCTTTTCTAGGAGATAGGATTTAGTCAAACACAAGTAATTTGTCTCAATATCAGGATAACGGAGTGAAATTCGATGGCCTGGGATATTCAGAAAGTCAGACTAGCTGATCCCTTCTGGCCTTAAACTCTGTGAAAATAATTTCTTCAAAAGCTGAACAATGATTACATGACAAAAAAAGAACTTGTAAAACTGTGAATAACAGCCCCATCTGTTGACTCCTTCCACAACAGTCCTGCTATATTAATCCCAGAATGCACCTCTTTGGATAGAGAGAACATATAAGTTTGCTCTGACTTTTATAGAGGGGTATATCAACCAGGCTACCCTTAAATCCCCAACACTCAGGGAACTGGGAGGAGCATGTAGAGGGTGGAGCAGCTTTATAAATACCTTGAGTGACCTGATGAAGAAGCAGCAGTTAAGTGGTTAAAGTAGAACTTTCTCATGCTTAGCTATAACACAAATGTGATGTTAGGTTGGAATTAGCCGAGCTGTCCTGGTGTTAGGTAAGCAGAAAAAACATACATCCCATTTTTGAAAAAAAGTTGAGGCTTTTGTACTCAGGTAACTTGAAATTGGGCTAGTTGAACTCTACACAAATGTATGATGATATCCTCTAATATGTTGAGCACCGTCTATTCCTATTGAACTAGGAACTGAAGGGGTCCAGTACCTTGGGGAGGGGTAAATAATGATGTCCTCAGTGAGGACAAATGATGTGAAATACATTGCCCGCTCTTTAATTTCCACAAGGGAGCAGCGTTAAGTTTTACATATTGTACAAAAGGTGTCACCTCCAACAACCCCTGGCACTTCAGGGGCAGACAGTGAGGGAGGTGTATCCTCCTGAGTGACTCACACCACACGCTGCAGCACCATGACCTACAGCTCCACTGTGCCCAGCTCCCCGTATGAGAGCCTGGCCTGGCTGCATGGCTGCTCAGCCCATGCTGCTGTGGCTGAGACAGCAGGAGGGAAAGGCCCAATAACAGTGACAGAAAAATAATGAAACCTCCCACACACACAGCTGCCTTTCCTCTGGAGCCTGGGGGGGCATTCAGTCTCCTGCCAAGACTGTAAAGATTCCCACCTCCAGCAGGGGTAAGTGAAGGCAGGGGGAGATCCTGTGACAGGTGTAAAAGCAACAACAACAAAAAAAAAAAGAAACTAACAAAAAGGGAATTGCAATGCATGACAGTTTGTTTGCAAAAATCAGGCTAACTATAATCCTAATAATGCGAAATTTATAAAAGCAAAAATTATATAAACCAAATAAAAAAACTGTGTAAAAAGTTGTTGCAACCTTATGTAAATAATATGCAAACAATATAAAATGTAGACTAAAAGTCTACATAAATAAAAAAGAAATATATCAAAATAACCAATGTATAAACAAAATGCAGCTATTGCTTACTATTGTCTATAACAAAAAATATAAATGCTTGCTGTAATTATTTACCTATTAAAAAACCTGCCCCCAAAAAACACAACCCTGTGTCCTAATGCACGCTCTCCCTCTATACAATTAATAATATATATATATATATATCTTTACTATACCCAACCAAAAAAATAAAAACTATGTTTGTCTCCCACACAAATTATAATGTGCTTCATCACACTTGCGATGGAAACCACCCAGAAACATAGGTGCTGGTGACTCAGGAGGGGAAACTTTTCTCTCTGTGTCAATAGGCAGAGTGGGGGATGGGGCAGTGGATTAACTGTAGAGGAACAGACTATTGTTCCATCTAGCTCAGCATCAGGCTTCTTGCAGAGGTTGGTATCAGATGCCTCAAATGAAAATAATATATCACCATATCTAGTTACCTGTCCCACTTTGGGGTTGGGGGGCGGTGGTTCTTCCTGACCCCTACAGAGATAATTTATCCCCTAGTGCCTGAGAGTTTATTACCTTTCTCTTAATTATGCTGCCCTTTTTATATCCAGCAACTGCACCAGACTTGGTTGATTCCCTGCAGCAGGCAGTTCCACAGCTTGAGTTTACAAGCCTTTTATTTTACTGATTCTATATTTACCAGCCACTATCTTACTCGAGATCCTTTTTGTTTTTGTAAGATGGGAAAAAGGAAAGAAGCAGGAGGGACAGACCCCAAAGAGAGCAATGAAATCCATTCTTGTTTTATACATTTACTTTTTCTTTCCAATGCAGACAAATAAACAGAATTCAAAACCCACCCATGCAGCCATAGATGACACAGGCCTTGAGGACAAGAGCACAAACAAGAGTGACCCAGAGGCTCAGCCAGGGGCGGAGTTTCCTCTCTTCTGTGGGGGCTGAAATACATAAGGTAAAAGCAGGAATCACACACCCTTCCCAAAGATAAAATTTCAGGAGAGCCCAGGAGGCCCAGTAACCCCTGTTTTCCTGATTCCAACACAGTGTCCTGAGACAGAGGTAAGGAATTTTCCTAGAATTACACCTGGACCCAGAAGCCTGTAATTAAGTGGCTCAGATACAGGAGCTGGGATTAGTGCAGGGTTCCCCAACTCTTCTCTTTCTCTTTTTTCTCTCTACCTGCAAAACTTGTCTCCCCTCCTCTTTCCCCTTTGTTCCTTCTCTTGTCCATTGCTTGGTCCCCCAGCACCTCCTTTTCTCCTCATAACATCTCCCCATATATCTCTCTCCTTCCATCTCCCCAGCCACTCCTCCTTTCTCTCATTGCATTCTCTTCCTCCACCTCTGTCCACCTCTCCCTGTTTATCCCACCTTTCCATCCTTATCTTCTCTACTTCCCTTTTGTTAATCCTCTGTACTCCTTTCTCTCTCCTCTCCCCACCCACCTTTCCTTACTCTTTAGGGATCTGGCTCCACTTTGAGCTAGGGGTCTGATTCCCAGCTTGAGGAGACATACCTGCGCTAGCTTTGATCAAGCTAGTGTGCTAAATGTAGACTGTAACCATGGTGGCATGTGCAGCGGGAGGGTCTGATGACATACCTAGCATATCTGATAAGCACGCACTTATGGCAGCTAGCCTCACTTGCTGCTTGCACTGCTCCAGGTCATCTATTTTTAGGGCACTCGCTCAAACAAAGCTAGTGTGGATATGTCTCCTTGAGCTGGGACTCACACTCCTATCTCAAAGTGTGGATATTTCCTCCTAGGTATCTATCTACATCGCAAATGGAGGTGTGACTGCAGCGTGGGTGAGGCATACCTGTGCTAGCTTTACTCTAGCTGGGGCAGGTAACAGTGGTAGTGGGGATGGGGTGGCGTAGGCTTCAGCACAGGCTAGCCATCCCAGTACAAGCCCACTGGGCACCCTGGGTGGGTACTTGCATTGCTAACCTCTGCTGGGGTCCATGCTGCTGCATCTCTGCTGCAGTTGTCCACACAGGCATGTCTACATGCGCTACAATTACCCCTTCATTTGCGGTGTATGTGTAACCCATGTCTCTCTCTTCCTGGCCTGTTACTCCCAGGTCGGTGTTCTAAGGTGCCCGAAGGAATGAAAGTCCAGCTGAGCCCATTATATACAATTGTTTATATAAGTCAGTCAAAGTTGGAGACAAATACAAATGCTACAAATTGGGTTGTTTACAGTGAAAAAATCATGACGGGTCTTCAAAGCATCTAGTAAGGTCAGAGGTTGGCATTGTAATGAGCAGTAAGATTGTAGAAATGGGAGGAAATGTTTACGGTTGAAATCATCCAAATGTGTTTCAACTGGTTCAACTGACACCCCTTCTTGGACATTGTTTCTGTGGGGTCATTGAAATGGACAGAAGGTCATTGCTTTTCTCTCATAACTTCATTATCCCTTCCCCAATTCCTTTGGGCCATTCTCCAGCCCTGTCACTCCCTGGCTCCATTCTCTTTATCCCTCTGTCTCATCCTTTCCAGCCATTGTTCCCCCATTTCTGTATGGTCTTTCTCCAGAACTTATCTCCTCTATCACTCCCTCTCCATTGCCTTCCCAAATCCTTATTTCAACCCATCCCGCCCCACAGAGTGAGATTAAATCCCCATTCTCACCTGCAGTTCCTGGGTTGGATTTCCCTGTTGGGCTCATGGCCTCTCCCAGAACCTCACTGTCTCCACCGGTGACTCCAGGGAATACACGTAGCCACCAGCACAAGGGGCTGTTCTATTGAAGAACAAATTGTATTCTGAGCTGGTCAAACACAAATGAGGAGCCGTAATGATGTCTGATGAGATGGCGAGGCTGAGAGCCAGAGCCTGGAGATAAATACCCCACAGAAGGGAGTAGAGGGAAGGGGAATTTTTCACACGGTCTTGTGATGGCTCATTTCAAACCAGAAGTATACATACATAAAAAGTGAAGAAAATGAAGATGGAAAAGAGGAACTATCCCCCATCGCTGAAATATTTTATTTCGAAAATATTCCTGAAGTTTTGCAACATGTAACATTGTAACATTAACCCTCTATCTGCAGGGTTTGCCCTGTGTCTGTGGGATGGGAGGGGGAATCTTTAGCCTGTCAGATCTCACATGCTATGGATTAAGCCAGTTTGATACGGGGATGGAAGGAAGTGTTTGTGGGTGCTGTGTACGGAGACTCAGTCAGAACTTCAGGAAGATCAGAATATATTATTTATTATTATAGATTCAGCTCTGCAACTTAGAGTCCGGTGTTACCGCTTAGGTGGTTGCCTCAGAAGTGCTTGCAGCTCTCCCTAATGGATCAATTCAGCTTAGCCTAGTACAGCCCTTACAGGGACATATCCTCACATCTCCCCTTTTCCAACTTATTCAACATCAGTCAAAACTATGTAAAAACAAACTATTTATATACAGTTAACTTGGCTTGTTACAACTTCAGCAATTCTCAATTAGCCAGAGGTTTTCTACACAATCTGGTTGATCTGAGGGACAACAGGACTGTATCTGCATCACTTGGTTCAGCCATCTGCTGCTCGGTTTCCTGTTCCACTTCCCTTTCCATTTCAGTCTTGGGAGTTTCCTATTATCCTCCCTTGCTTGGGGAACATGTTGTGGATGTCTTCTGTTCCTTCAGTAAGTCTGTCCTTCAGAAAGGGCCACTTCCTATGACCTAGGACCCACTGCACGAGTAACGTCTGCCTTTTGTTTCCACGGTTTCCATCATATATACAACCAGTAATGTGAGGCTCCGAAGTTTCCAGTTCTCATGCCCCTCTGTCCGATATTAAACTGGACAGGCCTGCTTTTCTAAGGTTTGCCCCCTATCCAGTGCTCAGACAAAACCAGATGTGACTTTGTCGGGAATCAGACACGCAAGGTCATGCTGGCGGAGGTGAGGCAGCGTGCTCTTAACACTGGAGCTCCCCTGTGAGGCGAGACCTTGCTTTCACCATGCAGGGGAAAATGTATGCTGTTCCCGGAAGTACTGGCATGTGTTCTGTGAATGCGGACAGACCACCCTACTCTGCCAGAGGATGTTTTTTTGTTTTTCTTTATCAGCTTTCTTTAATCTTTTTACATCATGTTCATTTTTAACAACTTTTTCTACAAAATTAGGCAGTCTAGTTTTTAGTTTTCTCTTAAACAGAATGTCTGCAAGAGACAATCCACGGTTCAAGGATACTGCCCTATAGTTAAGCAAGCCTAAATCAGGATTTGAATTAGATTCGTTTGGTTTTTTAGTAGCTTCTTTATAATTTTTACACCATTCTCTAGTAGACTGTGGGTATCTAGGACTTGCTGTAATATGCCAGAACCCATAATATCTCGCAAAATTTTTGAATTCATATCCTGCAAATTGTGGACCGTTGTCTGACATTACCATTGAAGGAATATCATACCTAACAAATATTGATTTAATGCGTGTTATTACATGCTTTACAATGGTATTGTCCAGTAAAGTAATCTCTGGAAAGCGTGAGTAATAGTTTAAAATCAAAACATAATCTTTACCTGCATATTTGAATATATTAATACCAACTTTATACCAAGCCTCTAAAGCTTCCTGATGTACCAGCATAGGTTCTTTCCCAGGCTTAGGCTGTAATTTTTGATGTTTCACATTTCTTAACTGCTTTTTTCACCCATTTGAGGCCAACACATCTTTGACCCTTCTTTTGTATTTTTTAATTCCTAAATGTCCTTCATGAATTCTAATAAGCATGTCAGGGTGTAATATTTTGGGAACAATTATTCAGTTTCTTTTAAACAAAATACCACCAATCACTGAAAGTTCTTTGAAGTGAAAATATGGACTAGGTATATGGTGTCCAGGCCAACCTACTGTTATAGCTTTTATCACTCGTTGCAAGGTCTCATCATGTACTTTGGCTGCTGCAAACACAGTCCACATTTTGTCAGAGACAGGGTAGTTTTTCTTTATAAGGTTCACATGCATATATCAGATTCAGAGTCATTTTGTGGTGTAGTATTGTCAAAAGCTTTAGACAGAGTATCCACTAAATCCCATCCTGGTTTATATTCTATTTGCAATTCATATAACTGCAACTGAGAAAAACAGTCTGAACTCTGGGAGGAGTGTCAGCCAGTCCCTTCATCGAAGGAGAGTTGTCAAAATCCTGCTGATACATCCAATGTGGAGAAACATTTAGCACCGGCAATTTCTCCAGATATGTGTTCCCTAGTGGGCATGGGAAAATGTGCTCTTTTGACATATTTGTTAAATTCTTCAGGGTTCCATTTTTCTTTTCTACAATTACTAATGAACGAACCCATTCTGCGTCTCCTTTACTGTCTTGATTATCTCTAGTGCCATTAATCTGTTTGGCTCCTCTTTGAGTTTTTTTTTCTCAGAGCTAGAGGAACATTCCTAGGGGAATGTACGATGGAACAACTAGGTTCTGTCAATTCAGTTTGATATTCTGCTGGCAGTTTTCCTATGTCCTTAAAGCAGGGGTGGGCAAAGTTTTTGGCCTGAGGGCCGCACCGGGTTTCAGAAATTGCATGGAGGGCCGGTTAGGGGAGGCTGTACCTCCCTAAACAGCCAGGCGTTGTCTGGTCCCCGCCCCCTATCTGACCCCCCCCCCCGCTTCTCACCCCTTGACGGCCCCCCTGGGACCCCTGCCATATCTACCCCCCACCCGCTCTCTGTCCCCTGACTGCCCCCGGACTCCCCACCCCTAACTACTCCCTGTCGCCCCATCCAAACGCCCCTCTCCTTCCTGACGGCCCCCCGGGACTCCTGCCCCATCCAACCACCTCTTCTCCTTGACCGCCCTCAGACCCCCACCCTAACTCGCCCCCATTACCCCATCCAACCCCCCCTCC